CCGACCGCGGGCCCCCGCCGCCGACTCGGGCCCGCTGCCCCGACGGACGGCCCTGTTGGCCACTCAGCGGCGCGGACGGGCGTGCTTGGGGCGGGACTTCCGGCCTGACGGGGGCCTGCCGAGCTGCGGTCGGAGGGACGAAGCCCGCAGCCAATGGGAGGTCCAGGCCGGAGGGGCGGGAGGAGGGAGGGAGGGAGGTGCGAGGCGAGCCCTGAGGAGAGGTGTGCGCCGCACGTGGAGGGGGGCGGGGGCGGGGACGGGCGCGCCGCGCCTGCGCGCTGCGGCCCGCAGGGGGCGCTGCCTCCTGGCCGGAGCATCCCGGTGGCCCGAGCCTGGGGTGGTGGGTTCGACTCCGGGGAGGGGTTCCTGGGACACTTGTTTCCTGGCTGCGTGTTGCTGCTGTGTGATGGAATGAGCCCTGGGCTCTGAATCCGAAGATTAATTTTCCAATCTTGGATCTGCGTGGCAAATCCAGTCAACTCCCTTTCTCTCCCCAACCCCTCCCATTCTCAGTTCATCTGTAAAATAGGAGAAATAATAACAGTACGGTGTGATTCTATTTCATGCCGACGTGAATGATACAGATTTGAAATCGTGCTACATTAAAATGATCAAGAGAGACTTGGCCACGAAATTTTTAAAAATGCCAGTCCCTGAAAAGATGATGTTTAATTTACCGAGAATCTCATCATTTCACAGAGCACTGTTGGAAATAGACGCATTCCTGTTTTTTTTCGGTATCTTGTAAACCACCTGTCCCTCGGACATTAGAACTTCTGCCTGTGATTCGGGGACGGTTGTTCAGTTGCTTTAAATTCCTTCTTATAATTAAAATTGGGGTTTTTTTCCCCCTGCACTTCTGTTTTAGTAAGATCCTTCGGTGGCGCAACACGTTTGGATTACTAACTGCAAGGCTGGCGGTTCGAACCCACCCAGCGGCGCCAGGGAAGAAAGGCTTGGAGACCTGCTTCCGTGAAAGATCACAGCCAAGAGAATTACTGTGAAGCAATTCTACTCTGTAACACATGGGGTTGCCATGACTCAGAATAGACTTGACAGCAATGGGTTGGTTTTTTTGGTTTGCTCATTTGTATCCGCCAAACACTGATTAGGTGGTGATGCGTGTAATGAAAAACAGTGCCAAAAAAATCAATGACTTCGGAATGGAAGTAAATCCTGATAAAACTATGAAAAAGGCCACATAGCAGTCATGCTAACACCATCCTTTTTTAATCTAAGACAGGGCCTACTGGAGAAAAAAAACTGGAGATGGTGCTGTGAAAATAAGCAGCAACAGTAGACATGGGCAAAACATTACATTAGAAAGAAAATCCTATAACTCGATGACAGTAAATAAGTTGTTCTAAGTGGTCACCTTACCAGCTGAGTCAGCATCAACTGGGAACTTTGTTAGAGATGCACATTTTGGCCCTACCCTATACCTGTTGTCCATAGGTCCGACTCATAGCAACCTCACGTATAAGAGAACGAAACACTGCCCAGTCCTGTGCCATCCTCACAATAGTAGGTATGTTTGAGCCTTTTATTGCAGCCACTGGGTCCATCCATCTCATTGAGGGTCTTCCTCTTTTCTTCTGACCCTCCACTTTACCAAGCATGATGTCCTTCTCCAGGGACTGGTCCCTGCTGATAGCATGTCAAAAAGTATGTGAGACGAATTTTCACCATCCTTGATTCTAAGGAGCATCTGGCTGTACTTCTTCCAAGACAGATTCGTTCATTCTTCTGGCAGTCCGTGGTATATTCAATATTCTTCACCAACCCCATAATTCAAATATGTCAATTCTTCTTCAGTCTTCCTTTTTCATTGTCCAGCTTTCCCATGCAAATGAGGTCACTAAAAAGACCATGACTTGGGTCAGGGGCACCTTAGTCCTCAAAGTGACATCTTTGCTTTTTAACACTTTAAAGAGGACTTTTGCAGCAGATTTGCCCAATGCTATACATCGTCTGATTTCTTGACTGCTGCTTCCATGGGCGTTGATTGTTGATCCATACTTACTCAATCTGTATGTTGAGCAAATAATCCGAGAAGCTGGACTATATGAAGAAGAATGCGGCATCAGGATTGGAGGAAGACTCGTTAACAACCTGCAATATGCAGATGGCACAGCCTTGCTTGCTGCAAGCGGAGTGGAATTGAAGCACTTACTGATTCAGTATGGATTACACCTCAGCATAAAGAAAACAAAAATCCTAACAATTGGACCAATAAGCAGCATCGTGATAAACAGAGCGAATATTGAAGTTGTCAGAACCCTACACGTATGTAATCAGAAACTCTGGGGCTGGGGCCAGCACCAGTGGCTTAACCTCTGCAGATGATTTTGCTCATTCAACTTTCATAACCACTGCCCCAAGTAAAGGGACAAACAAGGGGGAGGAAGCTATCTGGCTCAGAGGGAAGCTTGCTGAAGAGCCTTTAAGCTACAATTGTTGCAATGGGTAGCTTGAAGAAGGGAGCTTGCAGGGAAGTGTGTTTAAGTTACAATTGTTGCAATGAGTAGCTTCAGGAACTACAGCCTCTCCCTCCCTTACATTTCCTTATCTGGGATGCAAACCAAAATCCGTTGCCATTGAGTGGATTCGGACTCATAGCAACCCTACAGGACACAGTAGAACTGCCCCATAGGATTTCCAAGGCTGTAACCTTTATGGAAGCAGACTGCCCCATCTTTCTCCTGCAGAGCGGCTGGTGGGTTCAAACCGGCTGGTGAGTTTGAACCTCCAACCTTTCAGTTAGCGCCTGAGCGCTTAACCACTGTGCCACCAGGGCTCCTTGTTATCTGGGAAATTATCCTTAAATTCCACCACCCACCTGTCAGTTTGTCGTACTGTGGTGACTTGCGTGTTGCTATAGTGCTGGAAGCTATGCCACTGGTATTTCAAGTACCAGCACGGTCACCCCAGGTGGACAGTTTTCAGTGGGGCTTCCAGACTAAGACAGACTAGGAAGAAAGGTCTGGCCATCTACTACTTAAAATTAGCCAGTGACAACCCTATGGATCACAATAGAATATTGTCCTATATAGTGCTGGAAGATGATACTATAGGTTGGAAGGCACTCAAAATACACAGTAGCCGCAACCATGGACTGGAGCACACCAAAGGTCATCACAATGGTGCAGCACCAGGCAGCATTTCATTCTGTTGTACATGCAGCTGCCATCGGTCATAGCCAACTTGATGGCAACTAACAACAACAAAAAAAAAAAAACTATTACTATAGAGTCGATTCCAACTCATAGGGACCCTATAGGAACCTACAGGGCAGAGTCGAACTGCGCCAGAGGGTTTCCAAGGCTGAAATCTTTACAGGAGTAGATCACCAGGTCTTTCTCCTGTGGAGCAGCTGGTGGGTTCAAACCACCGACCTTTCAGTTAGCAGCCAAGTGCTTAATCACTGCACCACCCAACTAACAACAGCTCTTCAAACAGGTTCTGAACTGTTGGGAATTTTCAAAACTACATCCCTGGAGTTCCCACTAGCTTGAGGGGGAACTTTGTGAGCATCAAAACGAATACTGACTATTATTGACTGAGACACTTTGAACGTATATACTCAGGAGTCAATGGTGATATGCTAAAACACCAAAACTCATTCATCCCCTCTGATGGTGACAATTGTACCAACTCCTTACTTACCATGCCTTTACAGTATGAAACCAGCACCAACTGATGAGGAAAAGCTTTTCCCAGAAAAAATGCCAGTCCATAAATGGTTTGCAACCCCTAATGAAATAAGGGAAGAAGTACAGCCAGAATGCTCCTTAGAAGCAAGGATGGTGAGACTTCATCTCAAGTACTTTGGACATGTTATCAGGAGGGACCAGCCCCTGGAGAAGGGCATCCCACTAGGTAAAGTGGAGGGTCCGTGAAAAAGAGGAAGATCCTCAATGAGACGAACTGACACAGTGGCTGCAACAAAGGGTTCAAAGATACCCACAATTGTGAGGATGGCGCGGGACCAGGCCAGGGTTTCGTTCTGTCGCACACAGGGTCACTATGCGTTGAATCAACTCAATGGCACCGATCAACAACAACAGTGAAATGACCAGCATGCTTAGGTGGTGTGAACAGTTAACACACTCGGCAGCTAATGCAAGGTTAGAGTTTCAAGTCACCCAGAGGCACCGTGGGACAAAGGCCTGGAGATCTACTTCTGAAAGATCAGCCATTGAAAACCCTATGGAGCACAGTTCTGCTCTGACACACATGGGGTCAGGCAAGAGTCATCAATGGATGCTAAAGCCATTTACTGAAAGGTTGGGGAGGAACTCCATAGTCTCATGTCCTCCAAAGATCTTCCGGCAGGTTGCTTGTTAGATGCAACGAGTAGAAAATAGCTTCACAATGGAAGGGTCAACCAATTGCCGCCTTAATCTAGTGATCACTCTTAGCAACATAAAAGTGGGACAAACAGAATGGCAAACCTCTGCTAGGGTGTGGTAAGAAGTACGCAGCAGAAAAAAATTTGAAAATTTGGGGAAAAATTTGCAAACATACAGAAAGTATTTTTAAAAAACAGTCCAATGAACTCTCATACACCCATCACCTCCATTTAAAATTTTTTAACATTTGCCGTATTTGCTTTGTCTTTGTTGTTGTTGTTACCATGTTTTAAAGGCCATTATGTGGTCACATTTCATCCCAATGCATCTCTAAAAAATAAGAGCATTTTCCTACATAACCACAATCCCACTATCACACCTAGCCAAATAGATTTTTTAAATATCACTTAGTGGAAGAAAAGGTCCCTGGGTGGCAAAAATGGTTTGCACTCAACTTACTAACCAAAAGGTTGGCGGTTCAAACCCACCCAATGGCACCAGGGAAGAAAGGCCTGGCGATCTGCTTCAGTAAAGATTACAGCCAAGAAGTCCCTATGGAGCAGTTCTACTCTGTAACACATGGGGTTGCCATGAGTCGGACTTGACTTGACAACAACAAGTTTGTTTGTCTGTTTTTGGTTTAGCAGAAGAACGTCCTGGCAATCTACTTCCATAAGATTACAGCTATTGAAAACCCTGTGGAGCACAGTTCTACTTTGTAACACATGGTGTCGCCATTAGCCAGAATCGACTTCACAGCCATGGGTTTGGTTTTTTAATATCATCTAATACAATACATGGAGCCCTGGTGGCTTAGTGGTTAAGAGTTTGGGTGCTAACCAAAAGGTCAGCAGTTTGAATCCAACAGCCGCTCCTTGGCAACCCTGTGGGGCAGTTCTACTCTGTCCTATAGGGTTGCTCTGAGTCAGAATCGACTTGATGGCAATGGGTTTGGTTAAGCACTT